AAAAAAAAAAGAAAAAAAAAACAAAAAAAACCATTAAGTCACTTTTCAGCTAACAAGATGAAAAGCTTCACAAGTGTGATGAATATTTCCTGAAACAATGATTAAAGGGAATTATAGGAAGAAGACATAAAATCTTGAAAAACATACAACTATAAAGGTTACCTACCAGAATCTATGCAAAGATGGCTCACTGAGGGGAAACTGTCTTAAAATGTGTCTACCTTAAACGTCTGTAACTAAACCACTGCATATGAGATAAAAGTAGTATGTACCCCAGTTTGCCCTACAGTGAATAGTGCAGTTACCAGGTATTTCATGTTTTAATGACATGATGATGGTAATAATAGGAAAAAGAAAAACAAGATAAAATATCTCTTAAATATTATTATCAATAATAACATAAAGTACCAACTTACTATGGCATGATGTACTCTCATTTTAAAAGTTCCTTCATCATAACCTCAGTTGTGTGAGATAGTAAAGAAGAAGACTATTAACCTCTATTTGTAGATAAGGAAACAAACTGGCTAGCTAAAGAACTTGGCCAAGGTTCTAGTTCTGTATCTGGCAAGCCACAGGTAGGCCTACATTTAAATGTTATCAGTACATATTATAATTTTGCCCCATCTGAATGTTAAAAAGAAAAGCATTTAAATAAAAAAAAAAAGTTTGCAATTAAATTATCTTGGCTTGGCTGGATGCAGTAGCTCACCCTTGTAATCCCAGCACTTTGGAAGGCCAAGGTGGGTGGATCACTTGAGGTCATGAGTTCAGGACCAGCCTGGCCAACTAAAAATACAAAATACAAAAATTAGCTAGGTGTGGTGGCAGGTGCCTACAATCCCAGTTACATGGGAGGCTGAGGCAGAAGAATGGTTTGAACCCAGGAGGTAGAGGCTGCAGTGGGCTGAGACTGCAATACTGCACTCCAGCCTAGATGACAGAGCAGGCTCTGTCTAAAAAAAAAAAAAAATTATCTTGGCCTGGCCAGGGATGAAACAACTCTGAAAATGGGAAAATGACTCACTATTACATAAAGCTCTGAGTGGTTATGTGCATACTTTGCATGTCTTGGATCTTAATATTTTCAATAATGTTTCATAGCTCACTTTGTAATCAACAGCATACATCCTGAATAAGAGACAACTAACTGATGGGGAATCTGCCTGTGGTCACAAAACCAGTCTGTGGCTAAACCTATACTTGCCTTCTTTTCATCTGCCACTTTTTGTTTGTAGAAAGCCATTTATTTAGGGAGAGAAACAGCTAACTCTCACACTGAGTGAGAGAATCCAGAAAGATGGAATCCAGGAGAGGAAAGCAGCTTCCACAGAGTGGAAGGGAATAGAGAGAGATGGAGTTTAGGAGGAGAATACAGGCTTCCACGAGAGTGTGTGGAAGGGGACCCCAGAGGGGAAATCCAGGAGAGAGAAAAACAGCTTCCACGAAGAGAGTGTTCATGGAAGGTGATCCAAACATGGAGTCCCTCATCTGCCACTTTTAAGTAAACAATTGATTTCCCACAATCCCAATAAGGCCAAATACTATTTAATTATATTACCGGAATGGGACTAGGGACAGCTGCCACAACGATACCAATAGGTTGAGGAGAAAGGATTGAAGGATTTCCATTAGGAATATTAGTTACTCCATTGCTTGCAGCACTTTCTGATTTTTTTGCTGAGGATTCTCCTGGCAAAGGGGATTGTAGTTTCTGCTCTTGCTGCTTCTTTTGGATTTTCCGTTGCAACTGCTGTTTAGCATCAATTGGAGATGGCAAAGTCTTCACCTGAGGCTGAAAGGAATTACTTTCAGCTGTAGGTATAAAAGCAGAAGGCTGGGTAATTCCTTTAATTCCTGAAAATAAACAGAAAGGAAAGCTAAAATAAATACTCTCCTTTATAGCATGCAGGTTCCTTTGAATTTCTTTGAAAATGTAGCCATCTACTGGACAAAGCAACCAAAACAGCAAATTTTAACTCAATTTCTTTATAAAGCATCAAGTATTAGACTTTGAATTTATAAACAATTGTCAATATAGCTTTGTCATTTTACAATATGGTTCAACTAAGGTGATAGTTTCAGTTAACAAACAACAGGATTTAAAAAACAGTAGCTATGTCATAAATGTGAAGAAGCTAAGATAAATGCCAACACAGCATTTTTACTTTTTCTCAAAGGTCAGTAAATTTCCCTCCCCCCATTTCTAATCAGAAGTTCATGCATTTTCATGATTTTAATATTTAGCCCATGAGGGGCATTCAATAATTCAATAAATATTTGCTGAAGCCACTCCACATCTTGGAAAAAAATTGTATGGAGAGAACAAGTTTTTAATCCTACCAGAAATTCATGGAAATAGGCACTATTATTTTATTGCTACTATACAATTATTCCAGTATGACCTAGAAGAAATTAAGAAGCCGAATTTCTTAATAAGACTAAGGTTAAGATATTTCCAAAAAGTGTCACTGAGAAAACCTTTAAAACAGTAGTAAGATAAACATTGAAAAAAAGTAGACAAAATAAGGAAATTATAAATTTTAAGAAAAATTATATAAAAATTTTAGGAAGCTCTTTTCAGATTTAGGGTGTGGCATTGAGATCATTAGAAAGTAAGTTGTGCGTAGTAAAAACAATGACTACTCTTGTTATTTTATAGTAAGAAGAAAGGGGAGGAACAACTATCCTGCTGGTACACCTTGCCGCTTTTCTTTTCCCCATCCCAGTTTCTGCTTTTCATCATTCTGGTTAACAACAACTTGATGTGGGGAGCAGGAAATAGAGAACTAAGAGGCTATAACTCTCTCCCCACACTCAATAATGATGAGGATCTGTTGAACCCCTAACCCCTTAAAAAAAAATCACGATTTTTCCACTCAAATCCAACTCCAATTGTTTTGCCCCTTCCAGGCCCCGAGCCTCAGCCAATGGCTCACAGCTTGGCTATCTTATCCTTCCTGCCAGGGTTTTTAGACAGGAATGAGTTCCAAGCAGCTGACTTACAAAAGGACATTTGTAACACAACCTGTTCTTAATATGGAGACTATAAAAAACCAAATTCACCTTCAAAGGATGGAAATTAGTCTACTATCAAAGGTCTTTTTGAAAAATGTAGTAAGGGCTGAGATTAAAATTTTAAGAGACATTCTAAAAATGTTTTCAGTAATGATACAGTTGGTCAAGTGTTTATCCTCTCAGGCTGATTGCTTTCAAAAAGGGAAAAGAAAACTGTTCTTTATATATGTAACTTTTAGTACTTTTGTTAAAAAACTTACACCATTATTTACACTTATACCTTAAAAATTAATTCATTCAACATTTTCCTCAGTTAGACTTTGTGAATATTGTGAGAAATAGGGAAGAGATGTTTCTGTTCCCCATGATACCTCCTAAATCCTCCATCTGTTGAAGTGCTCTTCTAGGTATTGGCTGGGGTAGGAGAGAACAGAGCAAATTGAAGGGTTCGCTCCTTTTCAAGCTCATTCTACCATATGCCATTATGATATAAGTGAGTGAACTTGGGCTTTTGAGACAGACAACTTAGGATTCAAATCCTGGCTCCACTACTTACATGCCCATTGATTAGTTTATTGACCTCCCCAAGTCTATAAATTGGGAATAAATATCACCTATCTCACAGGACTGCTGGGGGAATTAAATGAGGTAACATATATGAGCTGTTTAGCTCGATAAGGCTGGTCAAGCATTCTCCTGCTTGTCAGTACAATGAATAAGCAGATTTAGGTCATACAGTTTACCTGTAGACAGGAAAAACTATATGACACATTTTTTTCTGAAATGGATCTTCAATTGATCACAAAATGAGAGGTTATACACACCCCTCCACCACATACTAAATGTAAACTAGAAGAAAATGGAGTCATTATTAATATGTAAAAAACACTAAAAAAAGAAGTGAAGTTAATTAAGAGACTACAGTTCTGGCCAGGATAAATCTATTGTAGGTTTAAAAATATTTAGAATTAACACTTAGAAGGACTGTCCTTGGAAAAATAAGTCTTAGATCACCGTATCACTCTATTTTTAATAGAAATCACAATTTTCTAGAATGATAATTTATTCACTCTACTTTAGGTTTATAAGATATAACTGAAGTAAGATATTTTAAAAAATTCATCAGAACTGATATTTTACATAACTATTAATTTAGGAAGAAATCATTCTAACAAGACTGTCAATTCCCAAAACTGTCGATTCCAAAAATTCCTCTTTGAATAAAAATAGTCATATGAATGCATATTAAAAAATATCACTCTTGTTATTTTATAGTAAGGCTTCTTACAGTTTTCTTTTTTTTTTTTATGAGACCAAGTTACCTCTCACAGTGTCTAAAAATTTTTTTATTTCTAAGCATTAGTTTCTGGAATAGGAAATGAACAAGTAATTTTAAAATTGAATCTTATTTTACTTCTAATATTTTATTAATTTAGATACACATATACATATACGTACAAATAAAAGTACATATAAACACATCCTATAAATGTAAAAATAGAAATATTAATAACATGTCAGCTGCAGGATCTAGTTTCATATGCCAGCAAAGCAATATACAGAAACATAGCATTAAGCTATGTTATAATGAAAAGATTATTATTTTGTTGGCTCAACAAACCCACCTGAATTTAGTGTTAAGTGGAGTAAGAAGGAACTCATAGAAGTACTAAAAGATGAAGTTCTTTGATCTAACTCTTCTTCTGCTACCAGTTCTAAATATAATACCTCTGTCCGTTGTTAGCTTGTTTATAGTAATGTCGTACCTGCTGGTGCTGCTGCCATTACAGTTAGAGCTGCCATTGACTTGGTGCCTATATAGTGACTTTTTACAAGGAAGCGGGCTAATTCCAAGATGTTGTCAAATGGTTGGCTTAACACTTTCTGGGCCCATTCACACACAAGACGGCAAGCAGAAGAGATAACTTCTTCATCTACATTTTGAAGCTGCCCAGAAGGTTCGGCTCCTTCCAACTAAGCAAAGAAAAAAGGAAAAGTTAACTTGTAAAATACGAGAGAAATTAAATTGAAGCACATTGAAGATAGGTATTCTTAATTAGAAGATATAATCTGAATCTATGGGTTAAAGCAGTATGAACTGACCCACTGGCAGACATATAAGAGGTTTGCAAATAAGAGACTCATACCCACTAGGGCACAGCAGTCAGCAGCCTTGCGAATATAACATTTTAAATGGTTTTTGAACATATATGAAGACTGATAGATACTTTGAATCTTCCTAACATAAATAAAACTATGCCAATAGCCATATATTTTTTCTAAAAAATTCCTATAAAACATATTACACTATGATTGACTTTTTCCTCTTTACTACAACACACACACACACACACACACACACACACACACACACACACAGTCCAAAATATATTAAGGAAATATGAGAAATCAGTAACTTCGAAACTTTGTTCCCCCAAATTTCATGTTGACGTTTCAGCCACTGTGGGATATATATATATATATATATATATATATATATATTTTTTTTTTTTGGCTTACTTAAATTGTAAAAGGCACAGTCTGTGGTCTTAACCAAATGAGACTTTGCAGGATACATTTCAGTGTTGATATAAAGGTACAGTTTTACTTATTAAAAAGAAAAGGCTGAATTCTTACCCCGTCTCCAGTTTTGTGAAAGTCAAGGTTGGGCAGTGTTGGCATATGAACAAAAGCTTTTTTTCTTAGTCCACTGTAGCAATATGTAACAAACAGTTAAGGTCTAAATATGTGAAATTAAATGAATTTCTTATACAGATTGTACTTTAGAATTAACCATATATGAAATGAGAATAAAATCAACATGAGATAACATCTGCTTTCTGAACTCTTCAGTAAGAATAACCTTAATATTAAAAACTTGGGACACTTGTACTCTTTTGAAACTGAAATACGCTTTTAGAATGTTAAATACTACTGTCTTAAATGAAAGGATTCTCATCTGTTATAAATTTTATGAATAAATGTTCCTAATATGCTGTGCCAGCCACCAGTAACAAACAGGTCAGAAGGAAAGGAATAGCCAGATGGAAACCTGGCACAGGGAAGGGAAACTTTAGCCCAGGGCACTGGGACAAAAACAACTCTTAAGAGTGTCACAAGGGCTTTAACCTTTTCATTTCTCTTTTTCCACTGAAACATACAGGATTATCGCCTGTAACACGCCAAAGACACATCAAAACATTTCTGTTTGCATTTGGGAAGCAAGAATAGGTCATGCAACAAGTGGTTAGAGAACCCCTGTAACCATTTTAGAAAAGTAAGTTTCTTCCCTTCCCCTTCTTCTCATCTCCTCCATAGTGGTTAATTTTATGCTCTGAAAAAAAGAACAAGAGCTATGGAAGGAGAAAATGAATGTAATCTAATATGATACAGAGACCCTCTATTTTACAATCTTCTTCTAAGAGGAGAAGGAACTATAATGAATTCTTAATTTTAATTTCCTTACTTCTGTTTGCTCCTAAGTATTCCTCCATCACAAGAAGGACCTTTTCTATACTCTGGCTGTAATTTTAATACAGGCTTTAAATGGATGGCTGAAAACTATTTGCACTGAAAGTTTAGTGTTTCCGTTACAGTTCCATGAGAAAATTTTTTGATTTTTTTTTTTTTCTTTTTTTTTTGCTAAGGAGATCCCATATGTTTCTAAACTGAAAGAAGAAAAGAAAATAAGCTAGCATCTTTCTCTACTTTTATTCATATAAATACTGAACATATGGCAGGCCTCAAAACTTCTTACTGTTAAAACAAAGGAGATCAGACCATTAATAATACTTTACATTGATAGAGTAAGGTAAAATCAATCATAATCTTAATATATGAATAAACCCATTATTTGCTATTTCTCTCACAGTGTGATAAATACCTGTGAAAGTTACATTTGCAATTCTACTAAATGTTTTTGGGTTACTTTTATTTGTTAATTTATTTCTAAATAAAGTTGCCAGTTTAACTACAACAGATGTTCTTACAAGTGAGAACATAGAGATGTTACTAAAACCATTCTGGTAAAGGATATTTAGATTTGCCTCTTGTGCCCAAACGACGTGCCTTCATATTTGGAAAGACGTTTTTCATGATCTTTCCAAAATCAGCAGCACTTAATGGATGGTAACCAAGATTGTCACAATAGCTCCTGCAAAAGAAGGAAAGGCCAATTTAGATAGAATTCAGAATTATATCACAGGGAGTGCTATTTCAATACAGTTTGATCCTTTTGACAAAGTGAAGCAAAGAATTTTTCAAGTCATTTACCACAACGTCTATGATCTTCACTCTTTGGCGATGCATGTTAACTCAGGTTTAGTTAACTGGCTTCACCCTCAGGATATAAAGTCATGCTTTCAATAACATTCACAAATCTTGCAGTAAGTTATAATGTTGGTACAAAGTTTTCTAATTACAACGCCAACCAGCACTCATAAATGAACATATCCAGTTCTGCCGGTAGGGCTGTAAGTTTCCCCGTATGTATCAGGCTTACACTGGGATAATTTCCAATATACATACCATGCACATCAGACAGAGATAACACTATTAGATGGTTTAAAATTTAGAAATGTGATATGTTTGAACTAAAAGGGACCCTAGGAATACACCAACACTCTCATTTTACTGATAAGAGAAAAAACAGAGGACAGGGAGAAGTTCTAAAGGTCCTAGTGTTCTTCCTTCTATCCCCACCAGCCCTAGTACTGCCAGAAAAAAATGTTACTTTCTAAGACAGTAACTTCAAGTGGGATCAAGAGACACACCAAGTCTTAACCACTACTGGAATCAGGTGTTCTGTTTTTCTCTAGAGCTGCTAGTCATAGGTAAAGTGTCAATCCTCTACCAGTTCAGCAGCAGACCAAGGCCACACCTCATTCTGGCCACCAAGGCCTTTGGAAGAACCACTACCTGTGAAATATGAATGAAGAGGAAGCCAGAGGAATTCCCTTTGTCTCTGCCTCATCTCTCATTTAGCATCAACCAGGACAGCTTCTTGGTGAAATCATGCAGAAAAGAAATGGAAATAACTGGGACACATGGTGGGCAGGGTGTAATGGAAATCGGGACTTGGGTCTTTTTGTAGATTGCTGAATGTTCTGACAATATGCCTCAAGTGACCTGAGCTCAAGAAATTAAGTTGGGAGAGATTCAGGAGGAGGCAAAGACCCCTGGGAGCCTTAATACAAAAAGAGTAAGTGTAGGTCTGGAGACAATGGTATTTCCCTTGTCTGTCCCTTCCCTATTCCCAAAACAAATCCTGCATACCATTGGGGGTTAAAAGGCAAGGAGCAGCCCAGCAAAAACATCACCAACAATGCTGAAGAGCAGGAAGAGAAAGGGGACTAACGTGTACTGAAAGTTTCCTATACGGGAAGTATTAGCAGCCTCATATTTAAATTGAGACTAAATTTGATACTTTGAGGGCTCAGGGGTCTTGCAAGGTTCAAGGTACAAAGTGAAGAGGTAACTATTTTTGGGTGCTAACAATGAAAATGAGTTGCATCAAATCAATTTCAGAAGCAAGTTAAATTAGTTCTTTATGGTTCAAACCAGCACAAAAAGAAAATTAGAAAAACTGTCATAAACATTAAAGAAACAAAAGACCTAAGAAAAAAAAGAAAGCAAAGAAGAAACATTGCGTCCCTGGCTCCTAAGACAGCACTGGCAAAGATGGGCTTAAAAAACTGAAATCAAATAAAGAGAAGCAGTGTAATGAGACATTTCAGAGATAAGATAACTGCTCTGTTCTCCCTCGGTGTTTCAGATTTTGATTTTTTTTTTCATTACATTAGTATACCAACATTTTTTACTTTGACAGAAGCTGGGTAGGAGAAAGGTTGGCAAAAGAAGTAATGTTAAGTATCATTGACCTAAAGAAATAAAGTGAGCAAAATTAATATAGCGAGTTTATCTGGGTCAAGGTTGAGGACTGCAGGCTGGTAAATGCTGAGAAGTGCTCCAGAGAAGAAAGGAGAGGCTCATGTTTTTTAAAGAAAACAGGACAAATTAGGAGAGGGGGCAATTATAAAAACTGTTTCTCAGGAATTCTCACTGGTATACAGAAATGAGTGATTAGTAATTGGCTCTACACTGTTGAACTATAGGGTCTGAGTTATGGTGCCCAGCATCTGGCATGGTTAGGTTAATTTATGGCTACTTGGTATAAAGTCCATACAACAGGCAGATTACTTAGCTCAAGAAAGGGAGTGAGACATGACTACTTTCACATTTTAATGCCCCACTGGGCCTGACAATTTAAAAGAGCTCACGTTCCTCAGATAAAAAGCTTCTTGTCTTTCTCAGTATCAAGATGACCAATGCCAAATTTGTTTTTCAAATACAATTTATATTGTGTGGTTATTTCACAAAATCATCCAATTCCATCTGGCTTTTGATACCTATTCTACTTTTTGGAAGGATAAATTACAACCACCTCATTGTCAAATACTCTGGTGGATAAATACTAAAAGTACTTTATAGACATATAAATAGCTGAAATTATTCCTCCTGAATCAGGTCAGAAAACTGCCGAGGATTCAAAACTTTATGCTTTGGTAACCATGTCAAACAGAAAATAAAGAAAGTGTCAATGTAAAAACAAAACAATATCTAGAATAGGTTCTCAATTTCTTTAATTTTGTGAAATGTTAGAATCAAAAAAAAAAAAAAAATCAAGAAGTTGTATTGTTCAACTTCCTGCCAGATGTAGAAATGGTCATACTCCTAAAGGATGGGTTACTTCACCAACGCTTCTCTGATGGGGAGGACTCTTTATTGTGAGCTGGTCTAGCCAATTTTCAGTGGTTATAATTTTTAAAGAAAAAGAATTCCAATAGGGTCCCTTTTCCCATTAAGAAGAATCTAGATATTCAATGATTCTTGAAAAAGTCGAATTTAGTAAGTGTTTACTTATTTATTCATACTTTTGTGCTATATAATAAACCATAGGTAATTCCAGGCCATGTGGAGATCTGGGTTAGGTTTACATCTTATTTTCCTGCTTTATAACTTTAACTGCAGATTAACCAAGCAAGATATGGTGTCAGTTAACTCTTAACTCAGCAGTAGATGATACTTACGCGAGACTCCAAAAAGGGCGAGGAACAGAGAATGTTCTGTTCACACACTCACTAACACACTGACGTCATTTTAAAAATGAGATCATTGCTTTTTTTTTCTTGCTATTTAAAAGTATGTTTTCAAGCCTGAAATTAAATCTAATATTCAATATGACTATGAACACATCACTCAAAATCCATGGTAACAATTCAGTCTTTAATATTCATTCATGCCATTTACAAATTTAATTGTACAAGTTAAAGGTAAACATTGTTTAATGGTACAAAAATATAAACAATGAATAACAACAGACTTATGGCAAAATATACTTGTGGGATACCTAACCATACCTGACATTTTTTGAGTGCTTTCTTTGTCTTAAACCATTTAATCTTCTCAACAACCTTAAGACAGGTAGTTTTATTAAACATACTTTATACATGAGGGACTTGCACAGAAAAGTGTACTAATCCCTTTATTTAATAGATGAGGTATTTTTATTATTAATAACTAAAAGCATACTGAATGAATAATCAAATAGACACAATAAAAAATGATACAGGGCTCAATAAGAAAAGAAAACTTCAGGCCAATATCCATGATGAAAATAGATACAAAAATATTCAATAAAATACTGGTAAACCCATCACAACAGCACATCAAAAAGCTTATCCATCACGATCAAGTAGGCTTCATCCTGGGAATGCAAGGCTGGTTCAACATACACAAGTCTATAAACATAATTCACCACATAAACAGAACCAAAGATAAAAACCAAATGATTATCTCAATTGATGCAGAGAAGGCCTTCGACAAAATTCAACAGCCTTTTATGCTAAAAACTCTCAATAATCTAGGATTGATGGATCGTATTTCAAAATAATAAAATCTATTTACGACAAACCCACAGCCAGTATCATACTGAATGGGCAAAACCTGGAAGCATTCCCTTTGAAAACTGGCACAAGACAAGGATGCCCTCTCTCACCATTCCTATTCAATACACTATTGGAAGTTCTAGCCAGAGCAATCAGGCAAGACAAAGAAATAAAGTTATTCAGTTAGGAAAAGAGGACATCAAATCGTCTCTATTTGCAGATGACATGATTGTATATTTAGAAGACCCCATCGTCTCAGCCCAAAATCTCCTGAAACTGATAAGCAACTTCACCAAAGTCTCAGGATACAAAATCAATGTGCAAAAATCTCAAGCATTCCCATACACCAGTATCAGACTTAAAGAGAGCCAAATCGAGAACGAACTGCCATTCACAATTGCTACAAAGAGAATAAAACACCTAGGAATCCAACTAACAAAGAATGTAAAGGACCTCTTCAAGGAGAACTACAAACCACTGCTCAACGAAATAAGAGAGGATACAAACAGATGGAGAAACATTCCATGCTCATGGTTAGGAAGAATCAATATCGTGAAAATGGCCATACTGCCCAAAGTAATTTACAGATTCAACGCTATCCTCATCAAGCTACCAATGACCTTCTTCAGAGAGCTGGAAAAAACCACCTTAAACTTCATATGGAACCAAAAGAGAGCCCGCATAGTCAAGTCAATCCTAAGCAAAAAGAACAAAGCTGGAGGCATCACACTACTGGACTTCAAACTATACTACAAGGCTACCATAAACAAAATAGCATGGTACCGGTACCAAAATAGAGATATAGACCAATGGAACAGAACAGAGGCCTCGGAGGCAACAACACACATCTACAACTATCTGATCTTTGACAAACCTGACAAATACAAGCAATGGGGAAAGGATTCGCTGTTTAATAAATGGTGTTGGGAAAACTGGCCAGCCATGTACAGAAAGCAGAAAGTGGACCCCTTCCTGACATGTTACACTAAAATTAACTCCAGGTGGATTAAAGACTTAAACAAAAGACATAACACCATAAAAACCCGAGAAGAAAACCTATGAAAAACCCCTCAGGACACAGGCATAGGCAAAGACTTCATGACTAAGACACCAAAAGCACTGGCAACAAAAGCCAAAATAGACAAATGGGACCTAATTAAACTCAGAGCTTCTGCACAGCAAAAGAAACAATCATTAGAGTGAATCA